CCCTGCTGTTCTCCTCCTCAGGTGTTACTATAATGTTGCACAAGTCTGATTTTCTTCTGAATAATTTGGGAGAACCACCACACCACTTTGACCACCAAAAATATCCTTAGGGACAGAAGGGAAATTAGTAGGGATAAGTCAAGCGGTAAATTCTAACCAGGGCTCCTACATAAATATTCAAGTAGAAACTGAACAAAGTTTATTTAAATAAAACACCAGAGAAATGGCAGATGGCAGACCTAAGGAGGTGGTTTTGGAGAGAGAAAGGCCAAGCCTGTGAGAGGAAATAAATGTAGTAAAGCAAGATCCCACTGGGCCTTTGGTATTCAACTGGTCTTCTTCCAGGCATTTTGTCTCCTTCCAGTTTTCCAGTATTTCATTAGATTGTCCTGGTTTAAAGATTATTAAGTATAATCCAACACATCCACTGAATTGATGGAAGGGTGAAGGGCCAAGTATGCTAGCTTTGCTATTAAAGAAATCACCACAAGTTCAGGGTTCAATAATTAAATTTATTCATCCCCCAGAGGTAGAATTAAGTCCCAACTTATACATTACCAGGTATTACCACATATTTCTGGCATGGATTAACATTTTCAGCTCTCTAGTGACTACCTTAGAGACATTGGCTGTTAGAGCTAGATAGGACTTAGGAGAATAACCACGTCTTACTATTTTGTTTGTTTGTTTGTTTTGGAGAAGTCTTTGCTATAGGGTGTGTGTGATCACGGAAAGACAGAGAGAGACAGAGAAACAGAAAGGGAGAAATCACCCCCCAGGGGGATGGCCACGCCGCAACCCCTTCTCCTCCATTCTCCTCTCAAGATCTTGGGCACACACACACACATGCACCTGGAATGAGTTTAAGCTACTGGGTCCGGGACTTGAATCACAGGTGACTACATGGGAATCCAGCGACATAGTCATTACGCCAACTGCTGGTCCCACTTTTTTTCTTTTAACTTGTCAGAGGGCACATGCACTTGCCATGTAAGGGAGAGAGACAGAGAGAGAGGAGAGACAGGGAACATACGTACACAGCCCCATGGTGACAACCACATCATAATCCCTCTGCTTCATCCCTCCTTGCAGGATTCTGGGCACACATGCACACATGCACACATGCACACATGCATACGTGCCTGGCATGGTTCCCAACCACCCCATTGGCCTTAGCCACCACACCACCAGCTGGCCCCAAATCTGCTTTTAACAAATGAATAACTTGAAGAAACTTGTTTCTATATACATAACTAGACAGGAAATAAAGTTTGAGGTACTGATCTTTGAGTTAAAAAAAAGAAGCACTAAGAAGTGTATACAGTATGCTATAACTTGTATATAAGGGGGTTTGAAAGAATATGGGGAAAATGAGAAAAATTGTTACTCCAAAGACAAGGGATTTCCGATCATGGAGAACAGAAGTAGGAGACAAATTTACCTTATTCTGATACCTTTTGCTATTCATTAACAGTTTACATATCTGTCACCCCTACTAAAAGGGTATGAGATTCCTTGAAGATAGAGCCCATTGACCATATTATAGTCAACTTTGTAATCCTTGGACATGCCTAGCATGGTCTTTGGCAAAAATTCAAATTATTGTTGCGTGTTTATGGCAAATGTTCTTTTCCACCTAAAATAAACTTGGTTATTATGAATATAAGTCAATATTAATCTTGTGGCCCTTTCCAAATGGTCTGTAAAAATTATTCTTAGGAGGACAGAAAATAACAGCTTTCTATCTTGTCCCATTTTGCCAGTACCTACGTTATTATTAAGAGTCTACTTAAAATAAACAGTTCTCGAGACTACTCTGATTTATGAAATGGAGGAACGTTTATAAATCATTTTGCTGACAAATGTTTCTTCATTTTTTTTACCTAGAGGAGGAAGAAATGATTAGTTAGTATATTTACAAAAATTGTAAAGCAGTGAATTTCATGGTAGAGATTCACATTAAATATTTTCTTAGGTGCTTTTTATTAATCAGTCACTTTGGCATTACTCTTGAACTTGAATAGGCTGTCACAACATGCACATTTTCTAGGAAGAGGAGAACTCTGATCCAGAATTTTAAAAGGCAGACTCAAAGAAAATAAATTCTAATAAGAAAAGGAATTAAATTACTGATATAGAGACTTTCTTCAAAGTTTTCCTAAAGATTGCATTAGAGATTGTGAGAAACGAACCTCTCTCTCCAGCATTTTGATGCCACATCCTTTAGGATTAAGATTCTCATCAAGTCCCTTAGTAAGATGTGCAAATGCAGCAGGTGTGTGCCCAGTGTTGGTACCACTGCCCACAGCCGCCGGGTGGGACTGAACGGAGCTCAGCGTGCACCACACCTGCCCCCTAGTGTGCATTTGCCAGCACTGCACTGCCCTGGGCTTTGGTCTTCAGCCTGAAGCGTTTCCAGACAGAGGTCTTTTCAAGCTGTTTTTTCATAAACAGATAAGCCCCAATTATATTTATTCTGTTAACTGCTACTTTGCAAGGAGTGCTATTAAAGGGAATAGAAACAGTTTATTCTTGTGAGTAGTTAAACATCTCTCCCTATCGTATTTGTACAACTGATTAGCCTTGTAAACTCTTTCATAAGAGTACAAAGAAAAACTTTAATGGACGTCAGGTCCGATTAGCCAAATTCTAAACAAATTACTTCAGAGTATTTAAATAGAAGAAAGAATGCATAATTACAAGAGTAATTTCTTAAATGACATTTTGGTGCTATCACATAAAGCACCTTCTCTCCAATTCAGAAGACTTAGGCGGTTTTTCACTGATTTGCTCTTTGCATTTATTTCACATTTACATTTACATTTCTCCAAACAGCCCAAAAGGCATCTGACCAAAAGTCTTGGCCTTTGGCATGCAGCCTATAAACTACCAACTGCTTTCATTCAGAATAGAATTTCGGCACTCATTAACAAAGCCTAGATTGCCACCAGTGTGTCTCCTTTTAGCAGAATCTATTCTTTCAGATTAGGTTTCATGCAACAGAACGTCCCAAATAACAATGGCTTCAAGAAAATAGAACTTCTTTTCTCTCTTGGGTAAACAAATTCCAAATTTAAGGATTGGAACAGTGCCTCCATCATCAATCAGGGTGAAGGTTTCTTCTGCCTTACTGCCCTGTCATGCTCCATGCATGGCTTTGACCTGCAGATCCAAGGTGTCTGGTCCATCTCCAGGCAACGTATCAGCATTCCAATCAGCA